AAAAAGAAGTCTGATGAGGAGATGTGGTGATCTCCGAAATAGTGCTATAACTTCTACCGCTTAGACTTTGTTGCTTTTTCAATTTTTCCTAATAAACAATCGTGGTACAAAGCTCAATAAAAATATTAAAAAATATTATTTTCTACTTTTTAGTCCATTTATAAAATAAGCGTTGTTTATTAAAAATATTTTTTTTTTTTTATATTATTTATTTTATATACTTATAATATCTCTGAAACTATCACCGATCACAAAGGTATTGATGCTATTTTAAAGATAATTTAAATACCTTTTACGCGAATAAACGCCATTTAAAAAAAAATATATATATTAATATATATGTTTTTTGGTAGTTAGGTGTTTCTGGCTTAAAAATATAAACAAAAGGAAAAAAATATGCCCACTACGTGAAATACCCCCTAATTACCTTTATTTCGACGTCATTGGTTTTTAATAGGTTACGTTGTTCAGAATATATTAATATTTAAACATTTCTAAACCACACCACTCTGTGACTGCCAAAATGTAAATCAGAGAGCTGTTTTGAGTATGATCGAGCCTTTTTGATAATGTGTGTAACTAATGAAACGGATACTCGAACAGTGTTGCCACGGACAAATTTTTTTCCTACCAAGACCAACCAAAACCTACCAGAAATGTGTTTAAGGTTTTAAATTGTTTTTTCCAATGCCAAGTTTATTACAAATGTAGACAACATAACATTTACTAAAACTAAAACACAGCTAGTAGAAGAATTGACTACGTATAACAATTAATTTTACTGTACAGACTTACACAAATGTTTATCTCTTTACAGATACATATTATTATTAGTATTATTATTATTAAGTCGAGGATACTCGCGCTGCGACCTAAGAAGATCTATTGTGCTTAACCCTACCCCAGACTATTTAAGAAGTCAGGAGGAGGACGCCATGTTTCAAATTTTTAATAAAGAAGACAATCGTCCCCAAGTCTGCTATCTATGATACGTGGACAGTCACATAGAATATGCTCTGGGGTTTCCTCACAAACGGCTAGGGGCCATGCAAGCGCATTTGGGCTCCACGCTTTGCGAGACACTCAGCCTTTTCGTTGCCTTCAAACCCTTCATGTCCCGGAACCCACCAAAGCCTTAAACTATTGTGGATTTCCAAGCAGTTCAAAAGAGCTTTTCAGCTGTCCACAACCCTGGTGCCGTTTTAAAAGAGTGTAAGGCCTTTAACCTGCCTGACTATCCGACATAATATTTATTTTGGACAAATGGGGTTCTTTACATAGACTTTGATTGCGAAGACTTCCGCCTGGAATATAGTTGGGTATGTGCCAATTGGCAGAATTTTCTGGAATCTTGATCCAAATACGCCTTCAACAATACCCCGAAGATCTCCAATTTTATTTCTGGTCATATTGGGCAGTCGTTAGTAGAGCGCTCCAGCAGGCCTCTTTTTCAAACCAAATAGAAAAACGAGGAGGAATGCCTTAAATGAAACCAAGGGCATCCGTTGGATAGGTGCCCTTAGCTTCTATGATAGGCCCGCGGACCAGTCGCAGCCGTCCATTCGAACGAATGACCAAGCCAGCGGAGCCGCTGCATTTTAATGCGCTGCACTATGTCCATATCGTTGTAAAGCTCATACAGCTCATCGTTAAATCGTCTGCGGTACTCGCCGTCGCCAACGCGTAAAGGCCCGTAAATCTTCCGCAAAATTTTTCTCTCAAACACTTCAAGAGCCGCCTCATCGGATGTTGTCATTGTCCATGTTTCTGCGCCATATACCANCGCTTTGCTTCCCTATCCAACTTGGAAAAGGCAGAACAGACTTCGCGGAGAACAGACTTCGCGGTTTTTGTTACGGATGATGTCGATGTCATCGGCACGCTCTTGTAGTAAATTGTTCCTGAGCGGTTCAGTTCAGCAGCTCATATTATCTTCTCCAACATCAGATTAAAGAAGTCAGATGAAAGAGAGTCGCCCTATCTGAAACCCC